GGCCTTAATCTTCTTTTCTGTATTCGAATATCTCTATTTTTTCGACCAATTTGATTGAATGTATTTAAAAATCAATGTATTTTTTTAATTTAAATTTCATATTTAATTTTACATTTTCGTAATCGCAAATTTTAAATAAAATATAAAAATTGTATTTTCTGTGCTAAATATATCTTAACAAAATGTGGACATTTGGCGCAGGAAATTAAAAAAATATAAACGTTACATCAGCCTGTACGGTGAAATTAATGCCATTAAATATTCGTTCTTCATTAAAGGTCCACAGGATGGAGACGTACAAGGAGTCATGTGTCATATCTCCAGTATGGTCGGACTATTTTAACTCGTTATTAGCGTTTACAATTTTTTTTTTTTTTTATAAAATTCGTCTCTTCCCTCAAAATTAAGCACGGGTTTTAATATGAGCACAGACAGAAATGGAAATCTTACAAAATTAAAAGATGATTTTTAATGCACTTGAAAAAATAAATCACATTGACCGCCATTTAAATTCCGATGTAAAAACGGCAAAACTGCACTATCCAGACATTATCCAAGATACCAGTTAGAATTAAATTATTTAAATATCGCGTCCTAACTCACGATGTTACGATCTAGATATTACGGAGGGCCATTTCTATGGAGCGGAGGAGTCGCGGGTAAATCCAATCATAGCGGGAGGAATGTTCGCACTTAACTAATTGAGAGAACCATCAATTTAATTAAGTAACGACAAAAGATTTAATAAATAAACTAAATCAACGAGATACGTAATTCAAAATACAAATACAACTTAACGAGTCTAACTAGAGTTTCACATGTAAGCCAAGAGAGAGAGTTTACATCAATTAAAGCGTACCACGTGACTATAGGTCTAGATGTAGTTCTAATCTTCTTCTTTAGCGATGAAATTCTTCGGGAAAGCGCGAGACGGAGAATGGATGAGGAAACTGAACTCTTGATTAAGTGGACAAGTGAGAATTTACATATCATGGCAGATTTTTGGGATCGTTGACTGATTTCTAAGTCAATATCCTTTCATTGTGGACTGCCGTTAGTTACGGCTCGTTCAAAGGATGAAGAACTGCGTCCTATCATGGCATATTTGTTGAGACCTGAACTGCGGGAAATCGCCCCTTTTATCGTATGTTTCGACCAATAGAATTAAAGGATTTACATTTGCAAATGGGATGTATAGGGAAATTTATGTAACCAGATGTTAGTTAGTTTGGAGATAAGGTCTTGCGAAAGGAAGTAAATTTCTCCTTTCAACACAAAAGTGACAGCAGTATCTTCCTTTTTTGTAAACAATATGAAAAAGCTAGATATATTTCTCACGTTAATCTAAATATATAAAATTCTTGTCCTGACTGACTGACTCACTGACTGACTGACTGACTCATAATCGCCCAGAGCAAACCGCTTAACCTTGAGAGGTGAAATTTGGTAGACAGTTAGGGTACGTCATGGAAACGCACACTAAGAAGGGACTTTTCGAAATTTTCCCGCGGGGGGAGAGGGAGAGGATTAAGTCTTAACCGGAAAAACGGCTTCTACTGTACTATTTTAGATGCGATTTTTTCTTTTTATATGCGTTTTAGTAGGATATGCCATTGGAATTCACACTAAGAAGGGATTTTTCGAAATTCCCCCACAGGGGGAGAGGGAGAGGATTAAGGCTTAACCGGAAAAACGGCTTCTACTGTACTATTTTAGATGCGATTTTTTCTTTTTATATGCGTTTTAGTAGGATATGCCATTGGAATTCACACTAAGAAGGGATTTTTCGAAATTCCCCCACAGGGGGAGAGGGAGAGGATTAAGGCTTANCGTTTGATTCTCGGCAATTCTCTTCAGCGGTAGGTGTTATATGACAATTACTATGGTTATTGAAATATTGAATGTAAATGGGGTTTGCTTGCAAAACCTCCGCGGACGAAGTTGCGGGTAACAGCTAGTGTTTTTATATATTTCGATTTCTTAACCAAATGTTCGAACCGTTTTAAATTCGAATTTGTTATTGCGTATTGGTTCGATTATAGAACGATTGTAAACGTTCCAGAAAATTGATTAAATTGAAAATAGTTCGTTTGATTCTCGGCAATTCTCTTCAGCGGTAGGTGTTATATGACAATTACTATGGTTATTGAAATATTGAATGTAAATGGGGTTTGCTTGCAAAACCTCCGCGGACGAAGTTGCGGGTAACAGCTAGTTAAACAATAAAATTCCGATTCGCGCATCTTCAAAAATTATACTACATTTAGGAAGGCGTGATTTTTCACATTAATCAATGATAAAGTGGGGTTACTCTATCTCTCTATTAATGAATTAGTTATATCTTTGTATATTTTGATTTTTTAAATTCGAATTTGTTATTGCATATTCATTCAAACATAGAACGATACAATCGTTCTATGTTTGAATAGAACGTAAATGGTCCAGTAAATTGATAACCTGACAATGGCCTGTTGATCAAGTTGAAAATGTTCGTTTAAAACAGTAAAATGATACTCAGCAATAAGATGTTATATAATATTCGATAAGTCTGAGTATATGTTGAAGCAATCTCTTTCCTTCCTGGTGTAGCAATTTTAATGGCCAGGAGTGTGTATTTGGTGGTAATTATCATTTCGTATAAATCAACTAATGGAGAAAAACCGGTCTTGATAAACAGATAAAATATATTTTAATAGACTAGGAAATTCTGTATTTTCTTTATTTCACGTATTCCGAAGCTAATAAATCATCCTCGTCATTCAATTTCGAGGGTAAGATTTTTTCGTGAAATTATTAAGTAAGCAAATAATTATAAATATTAGAAAAATTGCAATTAGCAACTTTATATAAAATTTTGCTTTTTAGTATAACTTAGTTTAATTTAATTTAAGTAACCCTGGCTTAATTATTTTCCAGTCTCTAAAAGTGTTTAAATGTCAAAAAATAAAAAATAACAGTAGGAAAAGATTTGATTTTCCAATATTTTAGTCTGAGTTTTTTAAAGTTCTTTTAAGATGAAAATAATTTTTTCGTAAAATTCCTGCTTCAGATAAATACTTATAGTGAAATCATTACTTTAACTTTAAACAATAAGAAAACCTTTAAAAACATTACCTTTAGAGAAGTGGTTAACAATCTATGGTCCACGAAAGTTTAAGTGTGAAGCTTCGCGACTTTAGCAAAGTAATTTTATTTTCCCATATCCTGCCTGGTGACATAACTCAATTCTACTTAAGTTAATAATCGTAATGAATAAGATTCACACTTGATCAGTTATAAGACTAGAATTTACTTCGCATGCTAATACTAGTTTGAATGTGATTAGCATATAATGCAATATGTTAGCACCTAGTGCAACTGCAGATATTAAGAATCTTTTTACTCAACAGGCATCTTTAGTCTTTTTAAGTCAGGACGATATTCTGTACATTTCTAAACGTCTATCATAAATTCAATTTTTTTACAGACTTCTGTTAACTTTGCTGTTAATATTACTAAAGACAAGTGCCATATCAAACTTTAAATACAAATTAATTAATTAGTCAATAATAACGGAGCGAGAGTTTAAATCTTTCACTCACAACAGTGATTAAATAATTAATTAAATATTTATAAGTAAGTCTCAAACTAATTAAATTAATGGTTCTTTAGGTGTTTATGAAATTAGAAAATTTCGTGATAGGGATAAATGGACTGGAAAAAGTTGGAAATTACATAAATAAAATTTTATATTTCTAAATATTAAATTAAAATAAATACATTAAAGAATTTAAGGAAATTGAATTAATACTTTAAAGAAAGTATTGTATTATTTATCCAATATTAATCCTGCTGGATAATATGCTAATATGGTTATCTAAAAATTTAATGGCAACGTATGGGCGTATTGTATCTGGCCATGAATGATCCCCTCACTACTATGAATATATCTGTATATTTAATGTAATTTGGTTGGAAGCATCGAAAGTATTTAAAACGGCCTACGAGTAAATACGTAATAATGAATGATGTTAAGGAAAACACAGAATATTCTTTAGTTTAAACTGTCTGTTTAAACTGTTTAATTTATTTATTATTGTTGTTATTTCTAAGAATACTGTAATAAGGAAAGAGAAATAGATATTAATTAATATAGCTTTCCTTTTTGAAGGAAAACTGTTAAAATGTTAATGAAATGTGTTTTTTTTTTTTTTTGGTTTTTTTTACTCTTTCTATCCTATGGGCACTAAGAGAAGTTCTTTTAGCAAACCCATTATGGGTTCGACAAGACCCGCAATAGGCGGCCGGGTGATGAGGAACGAATTTCCAGAGCAGTAAGTAGACTGCCATTTTGATCGCTCGGACATCCGGCTGTCCGTGAAATGTGTTTATGAGGATATCTAGAGAAATGCGTTGAATTCAACAAGAATAAATTATTTATTGAATTTTATTCAAATGTGAACTTTTTAAAGCGCATTTAATTACCATGTTATAATTTTGTTTCTGTATTTAAGGAGTGTTTATTGTGTTGTATGTAAAATAGGGCTGGCATAAATACAGTATTAACAATGTAAAAACACGTAAACAGATACTAAAAATATCTTCTTTACTCGCCTATGGACATTTTAGACTGTTTTACATAATTTGGCAGAGGCGTAGCCTTTAAAGAAAGGTCGTCTCTGCTGTAGAGAATAGTTTGTTCCTGATGATTGGACATGGCGAGTAAAGAAGGTTTTTAGTATGTATTTACGTGTTTTTACATTGTTAATAAGAATGTTTATTGTACTTCTCCTTCCTAATATTAGCATCATTTACTGAATATTATTATATTTAGAATTATTAATCATACCTGGATGGTTGCCATTATCGTTTTTCTCTCCAGCCATAAATCAAAACTGACCAATTAACATTTCGATATTAATATTTTTTAATCCGTTAAAACATCAGAAAACAAAATACCATCTTTACATTGCAAAAAAGTAAACGACTAACTGCTGTTATATTAAACATTGTTAATTTATTAAAAATTTCTTTAAATTAATTAAGTACAGTTCAAGAATAAAAAATTTTTAATTTAAAATGTGTCACTCGGTTGAATTAACCTTTACGTAAGATAACCTTTGTAGTTATATAAATCAAATACTATAATATAACAAACATTAAAACGTAAATCATATCAGTGGAACCTCTCTTAATGAGCATAATTCGTTCCAGAATCTTACTCGTAATGCGAAACACTCGTTAAGCGAAACAATTTTTTCTATAGAAATTAATGTAAAATACGATAATTCGTTCCATGCCGAAAAAAATACTCAAATATTTTATGTATAAAATATTTGAGTATTTTTTTTCGTACATAAAATATTTTAAATGTATATAGTATAATTATCAAAGAAAATTATACTATATACATTGTTAAGGAGCGGGAATCATCTTTATCTTTTCTTCTAGCGCGGAATGAACCAACTTGAAATGCCAATTCGATTTGCAGAAAACAAAAAAAATCACAGTTAATATATCTGCTGAACATGCCAAACGATATGCTAAATTCTTAGGCTATGTAAAGGCTATAATTAAATATTAGAAATTAATTAACTTGACTAGAAGTAGGCAGTTATACTGCCATCTCGTATTAAATTTAATGATCAATTCCAAATTAGAATCCAGAAATATCTAAATTAATTATTTATAATTATTAAATTTAATAAGAGATGGCAGCATAACTTCTAGTGAAATTAATTAATTTCTAATATTTAATTATAGCTTTTTATAGCCCAAAAATTAGGCATATGGTTCGGCGTGTTTATTATACAACGGGCTATGGTTGTAGTATGTGTGATCACAAGCGACACCTAAGATGCTAGTGGAACGAGTGCTAAACACGGATTTATCCGGGACTTTTCCTCTCCTCCTCACTCGTTATACGAAGTGCTCGATAACTGAGCTCTACTACAGAATGCTACCGCGCTCTATCATAATCATTGAATAGGCATTTTTCCTCGTGCTTCATACGAAATTCCTTTCTTTTAAACCAGATAGCTGTCAAGGATCTATTGAAGGCGTAATATTTAAAGTAAACCTCTATATAACATCATTAATTCCGAAGTCGAGAGACGAAACAATTGTGTTTGCTTCTGGAAGAAATATTTAATTTTATTATTGTCCGTGTCCATTTATTCCAAAGAATATCCTACAGCTACACAGAATGAAAATGTCCATATTGAAATTTTACGAAAATCGTGAAGTTTTTTTAACAGGAGTAACGGGATCATTGGGAAAGGTAAGCAGTTCCACATCATATTATTATGCACAAATGTTTTAAATGTAGATTATTTACACTTTATTTTTATATTATCTGAAGGTGCTTTTAGAGAAATTGCTAAGATCTTGCAATGTACGAATAATTTACATTTTAATCAGAAGCAAGAAAGGAATTCCAGCGGAAGAGAGGAAGACAGAATTGTTTCGTTCTAAAGTATGTTAAAATTTTAATTAAATAAAGTTAGAAGATTTCATTTTAAATGAAATAACCCTGGGTTATGCTTAAGTTTATATAATTTTGCTTGTGAATATATATATACACATATACCACATTATGTATACCTTTATTTATTATAACAACATAAATTGATTGTACGGATATTGATTTTTTAAGGATTTCAATTTTGGCATGTACACTAGTTGTTCTTTGGGCTACTTTTGGAACTGATTTATTTAATAACCTTCAAAAATTTTCGCGACATACTGGTTAAATCATTGGTTTATGGCAACGCGAGACATGGGCGATCTGCCAATGGGGAATGTGTTTCGGGGGGTCTTTTATGAAAAGCTGGTGTAAAAATGTGAAAAAAAACTTTAAAAACTACACGTAACAACCCGTTGATCAACCGCGAACCCATGACCAACTACCAGTGCTCGGTGTTTTTATCCAGTCGACCAGTGGTGGACTAAGATGTAATCCCAAATTCTAACGTGTAGTTAAATGTGACACAAAAAAAAAAATGCTAATTTTACAGAAATAATCAGAAAAACACTAAATATTTCTTATGTACAAAAATTTAATGCAACTTGTAGCCACAACTTAGGACTTGTGACAACAATTCGCACGAATTGTAGTCATGTCCATAATTCAGCGTGCCATTGAATTTTCTCAATTGACTGAGTTCCACCATTTGTACAGTAGAACTCAGTCCATTGGATCCAGAGAATTCGTCGACCGCACATTACCCAAAATTGCTCTCCCTTTTGACTACATCTGAATGCTTTGCTCGTATGTTTTAAGTATAAGTATGCAGACGCTTCCGCTTCCGCTTGTCATTTTGGCATTCGCTCGCTAAAGACTGGACGTATAAATAAGTCTTTAGGCAATGTGTAGAAAGTGAGCACTTAAACACATTATCAACTAGAGATTAGAAGAATTAGGTTACAGAGACAGAATTCATTAAAAATAAACTGGATCGGTTTATATCGTTACTTGTGACCATCAGCGAAGAAACAGAACTTGTAAATGCACAAATTATTAATATGGATTTAAAAAGTTGACACAATGAATATATCAATATTTATCTGTATTAAAAGAACTGCGCTGATTTACAACACTTTTTTTAAATTTTGGTGATTGTGGTGTTTAAATTTTATTTATTGGAACTTTAATCAGTTAAAATCAAGCGTTAGGCTAAAAGCCATAAAAAAATTATTTCCCACGGAGTTTGTTCCTTGTTGAGTCGGATCCAGTTAGTCAGGGATGTGTCATTAGAAACTTTTGATGGAAAATCCATATTGGACGCGAGACCCTTAACGGCAACCACCTGACCTCATGGAAAAAACCCAAGAGGAATAACGAGAGAAAGGAAAAAGACCCCGAGGTCAGTCGTCATCCGAAGTCCCTCTACAAAAGTCGTCTTCCAAAAGTCCCTCAACAAAGGTCATCCTCCAGGATTAAAACCGTGACCCAGGATAAAACTCGTGCACCAAAATCCCGAAGTAACAACGTGACAGAAGCAACAACGTGTCTCTTTAAGAATCTCACCCCACTTCCGTGCTTCCACCCCTCCGAGTTCCAGTTAACGAACAAGAACTAGTGGAAAGACCATTTCAGAGGAGTCAATAGTGTCATCATACTACAGATCTGCGACCTAGGAAAAAGAAAGGTATTTATCAACCCGCGATTCGGTTGTAAACTCTCTCTCGAACGGAATAGTATAATTAAGTCCGATAATATGCCCGATATCTCTGTATTTTCTTTGTTTATTATTAAAATTGTTATTTGTTAGAAAATATGGAGTCCGAGTGAGTCACTTCCTCGTCTCTCTCCTCACCTCTACTCCGAATCCAAGCGCTCACACGCTACCGCTCGAGTGACGTAACGTCGCGATTTCCGAGTTCCCCAGAGACACGGTGGTGTCAGATTTAGGTCTCCTGACGTGGTGTCAAAGAGACACCGACCCTACGGTCACATAATTGTATGTGTGTTATCAAAACTGCGTATATTTTTACAAAAAATCGATGTTACTTTTACACTTTCTAATTGAAAAAAATGTAGGGTAGCCATGACATTTACGTAAAAACAAACGCAATTATGTTTACTGGAATATTTTTAGTTTTATTACTCTTTAATTAATGAAATTTGTATCGAAATTCTTATATAATTTTTATATTTACAAAAGATCTTCAAAAGTGTTTTACTAAAAAATCCGGATATTTACAACAAAGTGAAATGCATCGAAGGAAACCTCACTCGAGAGAATTTAGGAATTTCTTATTCGAATATGAATTTGATAACGAAGAATGTTTCGGTGGTGTTTCACTTGGCCGCTTCAGTTAAATTGACTGAATCTTTTCGGTATGTTTCGGGTTAATTAAGTGCATATTTTGTGATTTGCGTATATTTATTTATTTTCATTTATTTTGTAGAGATGCATTCGTCAATAACGTGGAAACGACGAAAAATGTGGTCGAAGTTTGTCGCCAAATGAAAAATTTATTGGTAAGTGTTTTTGATGGATGGGGCATTAAATTGAACAGAGAAATGTTTCTTATTTTATATACATGTAGGCCTATTTATTTCTATGTTCACGCTCAAACAAATCAGTCTAAATACTTATACTTCGTGTGATTTACGTTAAGCGCAAATCACATAAAGTATTTATAAAGACGTGTTCAAAATCGTTTTAAAAAATCCAGAAAATCTCAATAATTACAGAACAGCTTGAAAGAGTCAAAAAGCAGTCATCAATTATTGGTGCTCAGCATTGCTGTCGGAGATTAAATCTTTTTCATTCTGTACATGTAAATATTCACGAAATTTTTAGCTAAGCTAACTTATTACCATATTACGAATATATTCGGGTATTTATTTTCAGTTTCTAAAGTTCTTTACAATTAACTAAGTGGTGTCGAAACTTGTTTTTAAATGTTTTCCTAATATCCAATGTGGTTTATTACAAACTGTATTAATGAGTTTGAACACGATAAATCATAAAGAAAGCACATTCTATACTACTCTCTGTTGGAATACTTTTACCGCTGATTGTTAAGACATTATGCGAGTGAACGTTACACAGATGATAGGATTGTCAATTTCCGTCAATTAAGTTTTATTGTAAACAGATTCGCTAACGATGTTCGTCTGAAGATAGTCCAACCCATCAATTTACTTTTTGAAATGAACATTGCTTGAATCTGTGGGGGCCGAGGGGGGGAGAAATAAAAAAAACTATTTAGATGAACGATTATATGAAATATATATCGTCATCGTCTCCCTTGCCGTCTGGACTGCCGAGCGGTAACAATCAACGACATGTGGAAGCAGTTGAGTCAGAGATAGATACATCATTTACAAACAACACAACCGTTTATTAAACACGAAAGAAGCTTACAAGATTACTGTGATCCTGGAAGTTCTATGTCGGCTGCGGTTGCGGGGTCTTCCTCTCCTGTGGTTCCACAATAGTCCCATTTTGAAGGAGTGTCTCTTGTTCGAGAATGAACAATTTCATCACGTCTCGATGACTCCGGGACGATGCGGTCGACTTCCGTTGAGGGAAACATGTCGATCCGAGGTCGGGAGATGGAGACAAAGATGGGTGCGAGACACACACACACACAACAACAAATCCGTCACTTGGAACTTTCGGAAGAAGAAGCCCTCGCGTCCTCGAATTTCCGGGGTTTTATCTGTTTTCTCTTAGATTCCCCTTTCCGATTGGTCTCCCGTCGTCAGCTGATGACAATTCGAAACCTTTCGGGGGCGCTGGAGAGGTCAAAATCGAAGTTTAATTCGATCTCCAACCGGAAATGATCGACGGACTTACATTCTTCTATTGTTTAAACGTTAGCGTCGCGTTTTCATATCATAAAAATCTATTTCTAACTAACATATTTTTTTCTCTAAAACAATTATTTTAATGCGAATTTTAGTGAGGGTTCGGACCTGTTCAGAGCCTCACAAATCTGCAAACTCCGGAATCATTATCGCTTTTTAATTCAGATAGAAGCAATATCATTTTGAAAAGTGAAATCTTCTGTTACTCGTTCGAGACAGTAATTATAAATATGTAAATACACTTTTATGAGATATCTCTTAAGAGTATTTAGAATTATATCATACAAGCTACAAGTATATTCTATTATAATTATTGAATATAATATACTTATATATCACAATTTCAGGTACTAGTGCACACGTCTACAGCTTATTCTTTCTGCAATAAAAAGGAAGTGGATGAGAAAATCTATACGATGTACAGAACTTATAAAGAATTTAACAACATCGCGAAGTAATATATTATGACACTATAAATGCAACGTTTTTTTTTCTTTTCGTAATCTTATCTTATAAATTTTAAATATGTTTATCACGTCGCTATTTGTCTAATTACAGTCCAGAGAATAATGCTTCAGTGGAGATAACAGACGAAAATCTTTTGGAAAATCGACCCAACACGTATGCTTTAACAAAGGCCATAACAGAAAATTATTTAAATAATTTCTGTAGAGATTTGCCTATAGTAATTGTAAGACCTTCCATTGTGGGTAGTACTTGGAAGGAACCTTTTGCAGTGAGTATTTGTATTCTACATCAAAATACATTATACAGTACTTTTATACAATCAGTACAAATTTCTTTTTTCAGGGATGGAACGATATGAATAGTGGAGCAGATTATATAGCTGCAACTGTAAGTGTATTTAAATATTTCTGGGAATGAAAGAAGGATTAAATCAGCGTAGTCTGTAGTTCTGCGCTAGCAATTTTTGAACTATGGTATCGAAGGTTTATCCTAGTAAACAACGATATCCAGATATATCCTTGCTAGAAAGTTTTTACCTAAAGCTCAACGTTTTCAGATACACCTGTTTGGAGCATTAATGCATAATTTTAGATTTGTAATTACTCGTTTTAAAAATTTTATAGTATTTCTACATTCCTCGAGTTTGATTAATTAATGATTTTTTAAAAATGTATCAGTGTTTAGCACAGTGATGCTTTAAAATCCGGTTTTACAACTAAGAATCTACACTTAGGAGTTAACCATTTATCATTTACTCTACTTTTATTGAGTGGATGCTTACTAGTTAGTTTTTAATTATAATTCAGTGTTTCTCAATATTCATTTTCCTGTGGCCCCTCTACAGTAGAATTAAATTATTATTCTCTTTTAAAAGTATACTATAAAACAATTATTTGTCTTATAAATTTTTGTTTAATTTAAATGTTATTATTTTCTTAATTTAAACATCAGGCAGACTTTTTAGTAAAGGTAGTTATTGCAGGAAGCGCTTCACTAATTATTCCATCGAATTATAATCCATTCGATAATAAGTGACACGAATAATATCAGGTAGGTAAATACGACACTTACTACAGTGTTCAGGGTTACTTTCAGGGATTGAAAGGAATACTTCGAAGCATATTGTGTGACAAAGAGAAAATTTGCGATTTCATTCCATCGGATGCAGTGATTAATTTAATGTTGTCTGCGGCTTGGAGAAAGTCAACGACTCCTCATGAAAGGTAAGGATTTATGAAAATTTCAATAATTTAAGAAAGGCGTCATCATTACGACGTTTTTTGATTTTATGTATCTTACTATACAAAGAAAAAAAAACATTTAAACATCTCTTCTAATATAGTTCAATCATCGTGTATGAACAATACAAATTTACCATCGAATTCGCAGGAATTGGTTAAAAAAGTATTCTTTCGACATCATATACAGACGCGGATTTAGAAAGTTTCTGAATAAAATGGAAACATGTATGAGACCCGATGAGTCACTACAGTACAAATATAAATAATTTTAAAAATAAAAACCTCCCCAAATGGATCCTGTACAGCGATAGAATCTACCGTTTTAATATAAGTTCAGTATATAAAGGCGCATTATTGTTATGTAAAAAAGTTATTCCTTGTAGCCAGTTGTTACTTTATAAATTTAAATGCAATTACCATTTATTTTGTTTTTACATCAAATAATATCTATCTACCAGAACTTTATTCATATGAATGAAAAAACTCTAGTTGTGCAGATAGAGTCAGTTTATTATGCAAAACTGTGTTTACAAAGTTAAGCGAACAATAAGTCAGTGTGTTTGAGCTTCAGTCGTCGTCACAGTCTTTATCAGACGTCATTAGCCACTCCATGATCTGATAAAAAAAAAATATGCGTACACAAAAGAACTTTTGTGATGTCTTCGAGCTTTTCGCGATAACAAGAATGTTTGTTTGCACAACTCCTACTCTTTCTAGAGCTTTCACTGTAATATACAACCTCCATTTCAAAAAGTACAATAGACAGCCATCGAATTAATTTCCTTTCGAAACAGAACGCTACATCTACCTTTTAATTTATCCGTAACGTGCTTGGCTATGTCACCAGCATATGGATTTGAAAATGTAATGCTTTATCTATGCGATAAAATTCGAATAGCACCAAGAATTTTTTGTGTTATAATTTTGTTGAATTATTCTATTTTCCCACTTTTTCGAATTTTAAAAATCAAATTCGTTAACTTTACACGAACGTTTAGTAGCGTGGAAAATTTGTAGAAAATTACAGAAGTCAATCGTCAAAATTTTCAACCGAAAAAATTATCAGATAGCAGATGTTTTCCAGGTTTGGTTGCGGATGATTCGCCTTTGCTTATTGTCTGGTGTGACGAAGTTTTTCTCACTGGTCTTGTCGGTATGGCTTCCTTCGATTTTCTATCCAGCTCCCAGCATGACAATTTGGCATTTTTAAGGCTGATAAACTTCGACTGGCGTAGCTTTCGATTAACGGTGACTGTAATGGCAACCCGCATCCTGTCAATCACGTTGTAAAATTGACACCTAAACTATGTATTTTCAACCGTTCTCTGAAAGTAAATTGGACAATATTTGAGGCTTGACAAATTAATATATAGATTTCTATGAAAGAAGAAAAACATTTAAGATAATAATTCGTTTTTCTAAAAAGTAGATTCTATATAGATTCCTATGAAAGAAGAAAAACATTTAAGATAATTCGTTTTTCTAAAAAGTAGAGACAGATATTACGATTCAACTATTATTAATCTGTTGTAAAAATGTTAAAATAATCTTTAGATATATTTCAGAAAAATTTTACTCTCTTTCAGAGAAGATGAAATTCCAGTTTACAATTGCACTTCAGGATCCATAAATCCTTTCACTTGGCAACGGTTTTTCAAATGTTTAAATACGTATTATTGGAAATATCCCTCAGAGAATACCTTTTTATATCCAACAAATATACCCAAGAAGAGTTATTATTGGAATCGAGTATGTATTGCGATGCAACATCGACTTCCTGCAATGCTAACCGATGTATTTCGAGTTGCTATTGGCAGGAAACCAAAGTATGTTATTTGAAATGTGCTTACTTATTGTAAAACATATTAAATTATATTTACATCGTTTTCAATTTAGGATGATGACCGTCTACAACAAAGTTCAGAAGAGGATGAAACTTATAGAATACTTTACTACAAGAGAATGGACGTTTCCTGCAGGAAACGTGGGGGAATTGCTGAAAATGATGTCGACACAAGATAAACAGGTAAGATTAATTTCTATTAAAGTAGGTAGTATATTATGACTAGTACAGTTGACCATTACCAAATGAGTGTTAGGGATTAAGAAGAATTTTGGAGTCAACGAAATACTCTGTTACACGAATTATCATCATCTTCTAATGAAATATTAAATATGGTAATATACAGTAATTAATACAGTTACTTATACACAGTCCGAAAAGTCTGAATAAAAGTATTGTAATGTTCCTACAGATTACAGATAATATCACGCTTATATAAACAATTGAAGTATATGTTATAACTAGCTGTTACTCGCGGCTTTGCCCGCGCGGATTTTGCGAGCAAACCCCATTTATATTTAGTATTTCAACAACCATAGTAATTGTTATATAACACCTACCGCTTAGAATGATGAGAATTGCCGAGAATCAAACGAACTATTTTTAATTTGATCAATTTTCTGGAACGTTTACAATCGTTCTATAATAGAATCCATATGCAATAACAAATTCGAATTTAAAACGGTTCGAACATTTTTAAAATCGAAATATATAAAAATATTTATAACAATGTCTGAAATGTTATTAATTTAATACACCTAAGTACTCGATGAAGACTAAACCCTCTCCCTCTCCCGCCCGCTGGAGATTTGGAAAAATCCCTTCTTAGTGTGCATTGCCATGGCATACCCTAATATAACGCAGATAAAAACAAGAAATCGCATCTAAAATAGCACAGTAGAAGCCGTTGTTCCGGTTAAGCCTTAATGCTCTCCCTCTCCCCCCCGCGGGGGAATTTCGAAAAATCCCTTCTTAGTGAGCGTTTCCATGAGGTACCCTAACTGTCTACCAAATTTCACCTCTTTAGATTAAGCGGTCTGCTCTGGGCGATGATGAATCAGTGAGTGAATGAGTGAGTCATTCAGTCAGTCAGTCAGGACAAGCAATTTTATATATTTAGATGTGCGCCGAGTCCAACGGTGGCCATAAATTTAACCTATAAAGGCATTTTCGGAATCTTTAAAAAATATCTTTAAAAACGTACATTCAATACCAAAACTGTCAATTAGAAAGTTGTAAGCCGTACAAAGGTTAGTAGGAATCCAGTTTTGATCGGCTAATTAACGTGCAGCAAGAAACAAAAAATTCAACAAGTGGCGGTTAAAAAATAACTTTTACATTACAGTTTGAATTAGAATATTTTTAATTATTATAAATTGGCAAAAGACTTAATTTTGTGGTTAGTGACGAGTTTCGTAGAAAAAATAAATGCTAATAACTAATAGCATCTCCATTAAGTTCGACCATTTAATTATTATACATCATTGTGTTAATTTATTGATGTTAAATCGAAGCACTTAAAACTGTAAATACTTAATCAATTAAACATATATACATTAAAACTAAATAAATGTTTTTCCATAATAAACTCTCTGCTGAATTACAAAGGATTTTATTCTTATATGTGAATTATAATTATATTAAACAATATTTAAACATACCTTTACTTTCTAATGTTATTTTGATAATAATTTTAAAAAGTATTAGTCTAAAATATCAGCCTTCCCCGACAAGTTTTGACTAATGACGTTCAACAAGATAACGAAATGGCGCCTGACAGACCTAAACTTTTCTCCTCAGAAAAAAGTGGGCGTGGAAGGTAGACCGAAATTTGGCTCATTTCAGCTAAAGTCTAGGCTACAACAAAAAGCATTTACCCATATAAAAAGCGAAAGTATTTGCACGGAAGAAAGAGTTTGTGTAACATACAAGTCGACCCCCC